AATAAGCCGGTGAGACTGGATAAATATGTCCAGTCCATTGCAGGACAGCTCTGCCAGCGAGAGCGCAAAATCTGGCCCTTCGAATTCAGCGAGTGGACGACAATTTTGTGGTCGAATCTCAGACTCGGGTCTCGTATGGTTGGAGGGTCAGTCTCCGACAAGTAGGAGTGCGACTCATCCGCTCAACACTCTGAAGGCCTTGAAAGGCTGAATGTTGTAGGCCTGCTTTCAGGGAATTTGCCTCGAACGCCCAGTTGGGAGGCAGGTCGCTTAAATTAAATGAACTTTCTAGAGCATACCAAAGCCTAGAAATCCGCTAGATCTTGACTTTCCTTGATACTGTTGACTTCCCTAAGTCCTAAACACGCCTGTCAGGCCATCTGTGAGCTTTGTGTTGTCGGTCCTGTAAAAAGCATATGTATACATGCATCTGTAAATATATCTCTATATTCATTCATTTATGCATTTGCTGTTGCTGTGTCGAGGCTCAAACCTGCAGTCTTGGTCTAAGCCTCTCAGCGGCTGTTTGCAATCCGACTGCGCAAGCACAATTCTGTGCGTATGTGTCTGGTTGACCTGTCTTTGAGGCTGTTAAGCTACATTGACTTAAGTCTGCTAGAGTCTAGAGGTGCCTACCTGGCAAAGGCACGCTGTGAGAAGTTGCCATGCAGCGCCCTACCACATGGGCCCAGGGCCCTCAAGTCCAGCCACACAGCTTCTTGTCGACGTTGGCCTTGCATGACTCATATGCATATCACAGGAGTGTCTTCAGAATTGCAGCTGAGGGCAGCCAGCCATTTGGAATCTCTGGGACTCGAGCTCGCCATGCACGTGCTGTTCGCTTGGTGGAAGGCCGCACATTTTGACCGTCTCCATCCACTCTATTACGTCCATGATTCTCTCCTTGCTTGTCATCGGTTGGCAACTTTCCTTGACCGAACTGTCAGTGTAGAGATTGTAGAGCTCGTGAGTACCCAACTCCTGAGTCAGAAAGCAAGGCTGATGTGTGTAGCAAAGCAGAGGCTCGTGTATGTCGACAGCAGCCGATACTGGCAGGAGGGAGCCAGCTTCGCAGCTTCCAGCAGCTGCGGCGTTCCTTTGTGCGGCACACTGCGCAAGGCGCCTGGATATGCATCGGGCAGCCTGGTGCAGCAAGGGCATCAGGAGGCTTTGAAAACTGCCAGGCGAGCACCCCGGAACTTCATCTCCTACGTCTCTCGTTTCGCACTGGTCGACCAGCTCACGCAGGCTGGTGAGAATTTGGTGTCTCGCACGACCACGGCTGCAGCAAGTGGCTCCGGCTCGTTCTGTTGTTCATGCATGGAGAACTGTAGCGTGTGCTCCTGCTTTTGCTTTCCTTCTGCAGGCCTCTGATGCTCTTGAGACCCTTCGGGCAAAATGGGACGTTGCGGAGCCGTCGCAGGCCGAGCAAGTTGCAGGGTCACATGATCCTTTTTCGTCTCAGCTTCGGGTATGCGAACGAAACATAACGAAACATCAGCGTGACAGGTGTAAAATGCTGGAGAGACATCATGAGTTGCATTCTGATGAATGTTGGGAATTCAGTGTCAGGGCTTGTCAACAGAAACGTGCAAACCCTGAAGGGAGGCTGGCTGGCAAAGCTTAACCTCTACAGGAAGTTGCTAGCAAGCCCTGAAACCTGAAAGCAGTTATGGCTAGTGAAGAAGGGGTGATCCCAACATTGTACAAAGAGGGACGCAAGCAAATCCTAACAAGCAATCCAGAAAGTTCTACCTCACAAGTGATTTTCGGCGCTGCAAGAAATGAGCAGACTGATCACGATCAACGGTTGTAAGAAAAAGCAAGCAGCGGCACAATGCGGCATAAATCTGGAATGTCATCGCATGTCAGCGCCTACTTTGTCTAAGTTAATTTGAATGGTGACTGCTCCTTCCAATGTATTCGTTATTGTGCCCATGTTGATGGGCTCTTCCTGAAAGCAAATAATCATGATGGAAGTTGCGAAGCAGCTGTCAGCATGACTAATAGCAGGAGCCTGGGAGTGTTGCATTGCCGCAGCACAAGTCGGCCAGTCAGCACCTAGACCTAGAGTAATAGTAGCCCTGACAAAAAAAAGGCAGAGAAGCTTCAGCCTCTTGCGGATGAGGAGGCGCATATGCAGGAAGCGTGACGAAAGTGTGCTTGCTGCGTTTGGGCCACGAGAGGACTAAGGATTCATCAGTTGCTTGCCTGGCAGGTGGCAATTCGAACTGCCATCCGAAGCTTGGAATTCGGAGATCCGGCTGACATCCAGGCTATACCTCAGACCCCTTGCAAGATACTCAGCTCGCCAGCGGTGAAGCATAGGCCATCGCCCAGGACCTTCCATACGAAATCGCTCACTCCACGCAAGTTCACTGCTCTTGAGGTGCAGATCCTGTTGTTGCTGGATACTATCGCATCGCACGCGCCTTGATTGAGCTGGAAGTGGCGCGCAAAGAGTGGGAGGCAGGGCACAACTGTTCATCGAGCCATGTGTTGCCTTAAGGTCCGCATGGGGAAGAAGGGCTTGTTCCATTCAGGTCCGCATGGCTCAGGCTGCCGGCTTCGACCAGCCCAGCTCTCCAGAAGTCGGGGCTTTTGCCAGCAGGCAAGGGCAAGGCTTGAAATGAGTATCCAGGTAGCCAATTCACCACCTACTAGAAATAAACGTTTTTGGGATGCGCTTGGATCAAGGGTGCCGGTTTGAGGCAGTTTGAGACGTTTCACTTAGATGGGACTGTGTGTGGAGCTCCCTTCAGCTTAGAGACAAGTGCTATCAGAATCAGAGCCCACAGGCTGCTGGAGATTGCTCTCCTCCACATTCGGCTTTTTCAACATGCCGAGGCAGCGTCCGGTCGCGTGATTCGCATGCCATCCTGTTGCCCTGGTGGCATAGGCGTACTCCCTGCTGCAGCGGGCTGTCCCGGCAATGCTGGCCACGCAGCAATTCGCTGGTTCGGAGGGTGCCACAGCCAAGCAGTGGATGCAGAACTTGTGCCGCAACACGGCAGCCTGACTCTAAAATCTTAGAAGCCCAGCAGGCAGCAGGGGGTGTTGTCCTGCAGCTACACGGCAGCGCGATTTGTGCATTTTGTGCGTTTGAAGCCAGAAGCTCAGGCTATGAGCCAGATGCTCAGAGAGCCTGGTCACATGTCAGGCCGGTCTGCAAAAAAGTCAACAAGCACAGGCAAAGCCATTCGCATGTTTCCTACCACTGTTGGGCCTTATTGAGTTTTCAGCAAGGGGTGGAGATCTTGGATGACAAGCACATGGAAAAGCTGCAGACACTGAGAGAGCTGCTACGCGACTGCGGATACTGTGCCAAAGAAATCCTTGAGCTGACCAAGGCGGGTGGAGGGGACAAGCAAGGTTACGGCTTCGTTATGGCTTTTTGCCTAAGATGGCCGCTGGTGTCAGCATGGAACCCATCCACTTTCAGAGACGTATGAGATCACAAAACCTGTGGACGTCTTAGCTCTACCAACCTAAGCTGCCCGAAAAAAGGTTGAGACAAGCGTGCCATCTTGCATATCCTCATCTGGTCCAAGAGGTTCAGACCCTGGAAATGTTCGCCGACGACGACATCTGTGGGCAAGTAGCTGACACGTTGCTGGCGAGCGGGAAGCAGAGCAAGCCTGGGCTGCCAGAACTCGCCCGGCACCTTGGCAGCATATTCGCCAAGCCCTTGCCTTGGCCAACCCTTCGCTCAGGTTCTTCCTGTTGAGTCGGCCTTTAGCTCTCAAGCAACTGGTGGAGCTGTTGGGCATGCCCTGCACGGAGCTGCCTGGATTTACTCTAGGCTTGCTATGGCTTGCTGGTTTCAGGCGCAGGTAGTTCCACAGATTGTAACAGCCAAGGTTCCTGCTACAGCTTCAGGCAGTCACGGCCATCCGTGGCCCTTCCAGCGTGCTTATTGAGGCTTGACATCCAGAGCCCTTTAACGCCCGAGAATGCGAGAGAAGCTGCATTTTTCAGGGAGACAAGGCAGTCGAGCTGCTGAAGAATGCTGCGGATGACGTATACTGCTTCGCAAACATCAAAATATGGCCTGTAGAGGCCTCTGCGAGTAGGAGATCGAGAGGGGCACGCCTTCTGGTCTCAGTTTTGATTTGCTCTGCCAGGACCTCCTCATCGCCACTGACAGGCAGACATGGCCATCACAGGCCCATGGTGCAGCAACAAATTCTGGGCAGATTGCCAAGGTTGCTTCTAGCATGATTGGATGTTGGATGGCTATACAGTTAAAGTCGCTAGTAACGAGTGGATGGTCATGGAAGGGTAGAGACGAAAGGTCCCTTTTTTCAAGGGTATCCTTGCGCCTGTGCAGAGCAAGTTAAACAGCAGAGAGGCACATCGAAAGTAGTCTGAAAAGGTATCCTGAGTCCTGTGATGGTAGCAGGGCTCTGTTGCAAGCTTCAGCTGTTTCGCTTTAGCCCAAGCTTTTTTCAGGGAATGCGCAGCGCAGATCATGATTCAAGCGCTAACTGCGTCAGGGCTTCGAGCCTGTGATGTACCTTTCGGACGATTCTTGGGGATTGATCTACGGTGCACCGAGGGTTGACGTAGAGTCAGTGCTACCTGACTGCAAGAAGGGCTGCTTGCTATAAGACATGAACCAGCGATCCAGTATTCATGAGCTGGGATTGGCCGGATTGGCCACTTCGCCTGCAAGGCTGGACCTTTGCACAGGCAGTGGCGTCCAAGGGCTAGTAGCCCTGCAGAACTACGCCAAAACTGCAACCTTCGTTGACCTGAATCCTCGAGCTTTGGACTTTGTCCGCTCCTTGCTGCCACAGATATGAATTCTTGCAAAATTCACTGATTGGCACCAATTAGTGTTGGCAAAGCTTTGCTGTGATACATCATTCCAGGCTTCAACGTTGCACTGAACGGGCTCTCGCACAAAGTCTCCGGCATCTATCAGGGCAATCTGTATGAGGCTTTACCCCCCGAGTCAGGCCCCTTTGACGACGCTGGCTCAAGAAATGGAAGTCTTTGGCTATTATTGTCTCATTTGTGCCATCTGTTGCTACAGTTTTTTTTGTAGGTTTTTGCTCTCATCAGAAACACGAAGTGGGGTTTGCCCGAATTTGTGCAAGTGTTTCGGTCACAGCTAGGCTGTGGGACTCCGCTCCTTCATAATCCAAATCTTCACCTACATGCCTTGAACAATAGATTCTTGATGTACCCATCATTGCTGTATCCAGTAGAAACACTGCATCACTTTGCCAAGAGCGTGAACTCTTCAACTGCGGAGCCATTAAGTTCAATGCACTTCGCCGAGAGCGCAACCAGTGGGCACAAGAATTCACCAGGAAGCTGACGAGAGATTTTTTTGAGAGCACGCATGAGCATGCCGTATAAACTGAATGCTGTACTGCTGCAAAGCAAGCCCGTATGCCTCACGTGCTTGTTCGTACTACTGGCGGCCACGCATGTCGTCGTCACCCTTGTGGTGGTTTTGGTGGTGGCTGCAGCGTCCACGGCGGTGGTAATGGTCGTCGTCATTCCAGAAATTAATTACAATGCCCAATTGACTTCTAAGGCCATCTTGGCCAATCCACCCTTCCTACCGAATCCACGTGGCATTGGTTCGCAGTGCTCAGCGAAGTTTGGGGACGGAGGCCCGCAGTCAAGGAATGCTCCAGGGGTTCCATGCAGTGGGGTGCAGTGGGGAATAAAGTAGAGAGAGACCAAGAAATCCTGATTCGGGTTGGTGTCATTATTGCCTACGGTGCTCCACCGGTTATGTAAGGTCTATCCATGGGCCGAGCTTGATCATGCGTTGTGGTTTTTTGCTATGACAATGATCGGACAAGGATGCTCCACTCTACTCAATCATCAGGACCACAAGCCCCTAAAACGTGCATGTCAAATCATAGCCAGGAGGTGCTGCGATGTTGTCGAAGTCGTATATATACATATACATCATATATACATATAGATATATAGAGTCATGAATAGAGTTTGGCAGCCTTGGATGCACATGTGTCATTCAGCACTGACTTCCTTGCTGGCACTTTGGGTGAAGGTGGGCTGCTCAGTTACAATTTGGGGTAAGGAATTGTCTTCTCGGGTAAGGGGCTGCCATGCTGCCAGCTGCGGCGTTTTTGGAGTCTCGCTGTCAAATCCACGGCTGGTGGGATTCGGGTTATACCGATGCTGCAACGTGGGTAGCGGCGCTCGAAGGATCGCAGTTGGATGGCAGAGTCACCACCTTGCAGGAAGCAAGGGTGAGCAAGGAACAGTTTTTGGCACTGGTGTGGTGTCTTGGAAACTGCCCAGTGGAAGGCAGCCTTCGGGCTCGTTTTTGAGCAGGATTTCGCTGGTGTTTGCTCGCCTGGAAAAAGCTCGAGATCGGGAAGCGGGTTGTGCACTCATCTGGCAGGCAGTCAGTTGACGCGAACACAGTTCGCAGTTGATGGTGTCTTGCCACAGATCAGCCAGGGTGGCTGGCTGCCTGTTGGTTGAAGCCGAATACCGTCTCCACCTGGATGCCTGTACTCGGCTTCCACAGCCTGCCACCTTCGTGAGTTGCCCGTAAAGCAGCCGGCTGGCCAAGCGATTGTTGTGGAACTCCCTATGTTTGCACACCTCTGGAAGCGATGCGCCGACCACAATGCGCGTTGGGCGGCAGCCCCTTAGACAGTGGTTCGTGGCAGCTGGCTCACTCTCGCATATTGAAAAGTGACGTGCCGCGGATTGCTGAGTCTAGAGTCCGTTGTTTCTGCCGCAGGGAAGCAGGAGCGATGCCGTCGCATATTTTACTTCGCTATCCCGGTGGCATCTTGCTCAGGATGGAATTGAGCCGATGCGTGGCCAGGATTCTGCTGTCGAGTGCCAGTCTCTCGGCTTTACAGCTCAGATGAGTGGATCGCATAGTTGGAGACGGCCCAATCCCCCTCTCGGAGTCCTTCTCCAACTGACAGGGCTGGCCAGAAAACCCAGGGAGGATGCGATGCCTTTGTGATCCAATGTGTTATTCCACCAAAGAAACACCTGCTTTGGTCCCATATGGCGGAGATCCAGTGCCAGTTAGACTAAGCAGAGTTCCCATGTTGTTTGTGGCCTTTTTGGGTAGAATATTTTCCAAGATAAGGTTAGCAATGTTTCGCGCAACTCAATGTCGATTGGTTACATCAGCTTATTCAAGCGATAATTTTGCTAAGCAATGCTGGGCTATCCGGGGAGCCGTTGTGGGAAGGTTCTGGTCTGAGATTGCCCGTTTCAGAGGTGAATGCATTGCAGGGCTAGTGTCCCACAAAGGCAGGGAGGCAATCAGGCCCAACAGCAAGTCAGGCAAGACAAAGCAGTCAGCAGCATCATTGAGACATATCGTGGCTTGTGCCATGATAGATATGATAGCGCTGCCAGCAGCAGTCGGGGAGTTTTTTCCGTATCTCACACAAAGGTTGTGACAAGTGTGTTTAAATTCAGTGCCTGCGCCATTTCTTTGCTGGCTTTGCGTTGCCTTGCGCCGAGAACATCATGAACGGCCCTGCAATGGCTCCAAGCGCGCGCAGGCCTCTGGATTGCCTCTGTAGGCGTATCCTTCGCCCCTCCAGTGGTGTACCCGGCTGCGCACTTCCTGAGAGCCGTTTGCCACGACCGCTGCTTTCGCCTCCCATGGCTCCAGACGAGCCACGTAACCCCTCCCTTGGCGCTCTTGTAGCACATTCAAGAGGACTGACTCCGAGGTGTTCAAGAAGATGAGCGATTCAGCAAGATCCTGCTGATTCTCTTCTGTTGAACAGTC